GAAGAGCTCCGGACACGGGTGCTCCGGCGGGCTGGACTCAGACTCTCTGAGTCGGGGCTCCCGGGAATAGGATGCTGGTCCAGCGGCGGCAGGCACTGGAGGTCGCTGCGGCTCCAAGGCGGCCGGGACTGGAGGTCGCTGCGGCGCAGAGGCGGCAGGAGCTGGTTGCGGCAGGAACAGGAACTAGAGTTCGCTGCGGCTCCGAGGCAGCAGCTAGATACGGTGTCGGCCGCAATGCCGTCCGAATACGGGGAGCCGGAGTTGGCCAGACCACCGAGTGTTCCCCTACACTTGCTTGGCCCCGTCTCCGGCTGAGAAGGTGCTTAGCCATATAATCTGAGTCTACCGGAGGGTCAAAAACCCTCCTCAGATCCTCCACAAAGTCCACAAAAGCACAGCATTTGGCCGATCAAAACTTAATGTTCTCGCGGCCCAGTCCAAAGCCCTTCCCCGCAGTAATCCAACCACGTAGGAGACCTTGGACCCGTCAGAGTCAAAAGTCTGAGGCTGACGGTCAAATACCTGTTGGCGTCGCAACAGGAAGCCCTGGCACTTCCCCAGTGTTCCGTCATAGGGATCCGGAGCCGGCACGGGGGATTCCCAGACCGGCGGAGCGAGGACAGGAGGGAATAGTGCGGGTGCTGGAACTGGTGGAGACTTGACTGTCCGGGCTAGTTCCTGCACAAAACAGCTAATCCGAGAAACTTAAGCAGCGAAACTTCTCATCTCCTCCAGCAGACTGTTAGGCCTGTATGGCGTAGCTGCTCCTGTGGTTGCTGGGTCCATTATGGTGAGGTCGTTCTGTCACAGGAGCTCACGGGTAGGACCCAAAACGCAAGACCACAGGAGACAGAGTACGGTGAAACAGACTTTATTTAGCCAGAGTACAGATGACAGGAAGGTGTGGAGCCCGTGGTCCAACACCAGAGAGTAGGCAGATCGACGGTGTGAGTCCCGTGGCTCGACACCGGAGAGCTGGCAGCTTGACGGCGTGAGTAGTCCGTTAACACAACAGAGGGCAGAGCGGCGGTGTGTAGTCCATTAACACAACGGAGGGCAGAGCGTCAGTGAGTTGTCCGTAAACACAAAGGAGGGCACGGGGGATTCCCGGACCGACGGACACCGGAGGCAGGCGCTCGAGGCCGAAGATGCAACGGGGTTGAAGCGGGTGAAAGACGGTACGACCTGACAACCCCAGACTGCAGGACCAGAGTTTATATAGTGCCAGGGGAAGCGTTAGTGGGACCTGAGTCTGGTGTGTCAGCCTGCAGGAGGTAATCGGCTGGAGTGGCTGCAGCTGTGTGGCCATGGGAGGTGTCTGGTCTGACAGGGATCCTGACACATATGGTTTCAAAAACTACTAAAAACTATTTTTTTGGGTCTAACATGCACTGTATGTGCGAAATATAATCAATTTCAACATATTTGCATGGATTACATTGAACTAAACTAATATGAAGGGAAGAAATATTGTTTGACAATAATTGACAGAACTCTAAATGGATCGAGGTATAGAGGTATTCCCAACCAAAACACCAGATGCTATTACGGAAGCAAAAGCTTTGACTAAAGACATAATACGTGTGTTTAACGTTTTGGGATATGTTACGAAAGAATTTATTGTGATAACGGTACACATTTTGTAAACAAGGTGATAAAACATTTGGCTGAGGTATTTGGAATAAACATGAAATATCATTGCTCTTATCACCCACAGTCAGCAGGGTTGATTGAAAGAACAAATGGTACAATTAAATTAAAATTAAGAACAGATCTTGCCGAGCCTAAACCATTTGTTAGACAAGATGAACATATGGGAGAAAATACAGAAAAATGTTAAAAAGAAAAGAAATTGTTGTCTCTCCCACTCGGGAGGATCATAATAGTCCACGCACAAGGTTATGAAAACTTGGAATGCACTGAGGTGGGAGGGACCGCTAAGCACACCAACAATTGTCCGCATAGCAGAGAGAGCATCCTAGATCATTGTTAAAAGGTGAACCAATTGTCCACAACAAAATAGTGGCATTGATAACTCTTAATCTTAGGGCACCTGTTTCCTCTGGGTGAGTCTGGAAGGACAGGGATTTGAAAGCCTCTGGGGCCATTTGTCTGACCAGTGAAGATACTAACACACTCAGAGGGGTTAGTGGTGTCTGTAAGAAAAAAAAGGGCTCAGTGGTAGAACTAACATCGCGGAAATTGATAAATTTAGACAGCCAGGGCTATGTGGGATAAGGGGAACTATGTTTTGCTTTGCTTTAGCGGCTTTAATAATAATTACCGGTAGTCCAATATTATGGTGGGAAGTTAGGAAGATAAAATTGACAATTAATAAATACAAAATACAACCACACGAACATTACACGCTAGGAACAATTCTGTTCCGCATGACACCAGAAAATGACCAAACAGGTTTCAAATGTGCCTTACAAATTGTTTTCTCCTCCTCAAACTGTCTAGTAGCGGCAGATGTATCACTCTACACTATCTGTTGCCACCTGTTAACAAAATACCACCCTGTTTCTCACCCGATGCAGCAAACTATGTAGAACATCACACAGACAGCTGATGGATATGAACGATGCCCAGGGCTGGCACCTGGTGGTTCTGTGGAGGTAAGCTAAGCAGTGGAGCGGAACTCGTGCCTTGACACAGTTGGTGAAGTCATTCTATGCATTGACTATGAATGGCGCCTCCCTGCGTAACCTCCTAGAGACAGACCACGACCATAAAGGTCAGCCCATCTGGCAGTTTCAGTCAGTCTGTGTACATAGATGACATTGGGGTCCCGAGGGGAAATCAAATTGCTGCGGGGTTTGAAACAGTACTATTTTGGTGGGCAACAATATGGTAGAGGGGTCAAGACATGCTGCTGGCGGAGAGAGGAGGGGTCTACAGGATGTTTGGTTCATCTTGATTGTACTTTCATACCATGTTTGAGGAGATTACTGCAGTTATGAATTGATGTTGACATGACTCAACAGACTCCAGTGTACTGACAGATTTCCCAGCAGGATGGTGAGGAGCTGGGGAGTGACAATTACACTGAACTGTAAAGTAATAATGATTCGTATGTAGAAAATTGAGAAATGATGATTGCAGTATTACCTGTAGCTAATAAAGACAGTACACAGAATGTTTGTTAAAACATTCTTTTATTCAATATGTTACTCTTAAGTATAATCCATATAACATTAAAATACGTGTGTTCTTGATTATATTCAATTCTTATTGATTTTGATGTTTCTTTTTGTTTTTATGCTTTCGCTTATTAAGTAGTTTGATTGGACATTTATTAATTTCTTCATTTATTGACTTATTGATTTATTCATTGACTTTTATTAGAATTTATACTGATAGTATAAACAGGTGGGAATGTTGGGAAAAATCTAAATTACTAATTAGTATGCGTTTAATAATTAGTGAATGTTATACATTTAACAGAGGCTCATGTCCTCTGTAGTGTTTAAGGCCTGTGTCCTTGTGTGAACTATCTGGGACACCAGGCATCTTCAGCAGATGTTTAGTCTATTAGGAAGCAGTTGATTGCAGAAAGAACACTTCAGCTGTTTGTCCTGAATAAGAATAATAATAAACTTGTAGAAAGCGTCAATACTTACGCAGGGCTGATTTGCGACCATGATTTACAAGAAAGTGACCTTTGTACTAGAACGAATTGTTAAAGTGTCGAGATACGTAGACGCCTGTGTGAATCGCAAAATGTGTGTGTGTTACCCTGTGCCAGCCCACTGCATGTTGTTTACTTAGTATAAATACCAGAGACTCGGAGACAGATCTTCGAGTGGTCTTGATGTACATTCTGTATGTGAATCAACCCTGTCTCCTTCTTTGCAAAGAATAAATGTCCAATGATTAATGATTTTTACACCAGTCGCGAGTGAATTTTTCTGACATTCACATAAACATTTTTCTTATTTTTTACGAACACATTCTCTTTTCCAACTTGTCAATACAGACGCTTCAAACTATGACACTAGGTATCCCTCTAGCATTAGTGTCGGACGTGTCATGGAGGGTGTGTAAGTTGCTTGTCGTTAAATGCATAGTGTGTTTTCAAAATAAACTCGTGTTCAGAGGAAACATACATTTTCTTCTTGTTAAGCCAAGTTCACACGTCACGACTTTAAATTAGTCAGATCGCTGTGCGGTTCTACTACACAATTTGCTGTCTTGTAATCTTGAACGCTTTGTCGTTTTCACACTACATGACTGATAGCGTAGCGTAGTCATGCTTGTTGCTATGTAATTTAAGTACTCCATCAGTCAACATTGACTCTAAAATTTCACACAGGACATGAGCAGCAGCTCAGCTGGGTGAAAGTCAGCCTCCTCCCTACACAGACTTTGTTGCTCTGTATAATACAGTTGCTCTTGAGTGTCTAATTATGGGCTTACATTGAAGTTAGTTGAATGCCTGGTGTTGCATTGGTAACAGACTTTGAGGGCCACTCACCAAGCATCTGTATTTTTGAGTTGAGAGTGAGAACAGGTTGTCTTTGCCTCAAAGAGGTGTTAGAGCTAGAGAAGTATGTTTTTCAGCATTTGGATGTCTCTCAGCTTATCAAGCACATCATCTGTGGTGGTTGTCGCTTGCTTGCCCTAACTCAGCTCCATCCAGGCTACTGGAGTTTTGTTTGATTCAAATTTGTATTATGCAGGTTGAAGATGAGTGGTTAATCCAAATTTGAGCTTCAAAATATCCCTTCAGGAATTTACCGGTGATCCATACTTGTTTTATTACAGTCTGTGGATACAAATGCGTCATGTACGCCCTAAAGTACACAATCCTCTCTCTCAGTAACAACAGTGCAGTCTATAATCTTAACTCATTTCATCACTTCATTGGTGTTCCATGTACAGTATGGACAGTGCTATGGCTTGTCTTCCAGCAGGTGCAGTAATTGTCCCTCTCAAAGTGTGAATGCAGCACTTGTTAGACGATATCAACAACAAATATTAGGACAAGCCCTGAGATAGTGTTCAAAGAGGTCATGATATAGGTAGCATTCATGGACATTGTACTAAGACAACAACTTAGTTTATGGACCATGCACAACATCTGTCATGTTTTGAATAGTTTTCATTCACATTTAAATAGGAAACATGAAAAATAGCATGACAACAAACGCACAGTGGATGTTACATTTAAGTCAAGCTTTTGTTGTTCCTGTTCTACTCTTTGACTGTAGGGTGATTTATTTTTGTGTCTTACTTATGTTCTGATTTCAGCTATATATGGAGTCATAGCACCGACTTGGAGGTCAGACATCAGTTTAAATGATAGAAATAGAATTGAAGTAGAATGGATATTGATCAGTTTTCCGTGGTCATTTGACTAGGGGGGCGACTGTGGCTAAGTGGAGAGCAGGGTCGTCCTTCAATCAGAAAATCGGCAGTTTGATTCTCGAGCAAGACACTGTCAATGTCAATGTTAATTGTTGTTAGTTGGTATGGTGACAACATACTGTATGAGTTGGGCTGTAATGTTGTCGCAGCTCACCTGAAAGAGAGCGTACGCAGCCCTGGGGAGACAGATGGCTGGCTAGTCAGCTAGGTAGCTTGTCCTGTCCTTATTTTCTGTAACCAGTAACATAGCAGAATTAGCAAGTTAACTAACTAAGCTGTCCGCTAGTTAACCAACTATCTCATTACATACTAAAATGCTACACCGGTTACAGAAATTAAGCCGAACAAAGTTGTCATCTCATCTGGCGACAGCAATGTGCTTTCCTAGCTTTGACAAGAGTTTGTGGATGAAGTATTAAGTTGTTGAATTTGAATGATATCCTCTGGTTCTCTGTGCTTCAAGTAATATTACTACTGCACTGCTCATTTTAGTCGTTTCGGCAAAACCTCACGTCAGCGAGTCTGTGACTTGCAACGGTACACATGGCGACCACTCTGGCCATCCTGCTACGTTGATTTGAATGGGAATGTCCATTCTACTCCTATTTTATTTCTGTGGTTAAAATACTTCCAATCATGAATTTTTGTCACATCCAACTTTGTTATTTCTACATTGCATTCCACGTCTTTATGCTTAAACATGAAGATTACATTTTGAGAATGGTGTGCATTTCTAATTTCAGAATTTTGCATTGTCTGCTTCTATCTAGGCCCAAATCTCACACCAGTGAGAATCTTTCCTGGCTGACAGCTTGTACGGTGAACACATCTTGGATGTGACTAACAGCCACAGCTAACAGTTTTGGCCATCATTTTTATCAGTGATGATAATTCACTCACTCACTTAATTGCTGAAACAACGACAACATCCCTACAACTAAGTAAGACACAAAACTTATCCTAGATCACAACAAGGGCGAAGTCTTCAGCAGGTGAGCTTTGTTACTTATATAAATAGCCTGTCACCATTTGGAAGGGACAACCTCTGCATTAACTTAGGCTCTTATTTGCTTCCAATGTCCTTACTAGCTGAAATTTCCAAAAAGCTATTCAACAGTATTTCTCTCTCTGTATTGTCAGTACTACCTCATTAACAAGTGGTCTGCTTGTACAGAGAGGATAACCAGTGGCTCCATGTTGGATGTGCAGTAAAACACAAAATACACTCCGGACGCAAAGCAATAAGGTATGAGCACCAAAAACAGTGAGTAGGACAGTGCACACACAAGGACAAGGACAGTGCACACACAAGGACAAGGACAGTGCACACACAAGTTTTCAAAAGTGCTATCCACCAGTAGGTCTGCGTTTCTACCAACACTTTGATTACCTAGTTGGTTAACACTGACAGGGTCTCGTGACAAATCAGCAATCTGTTTGGAAATCTTAGTAACTGAGTGTGAGAAAACCAGATCATCCACCAGCCTAATACATTATTATGTGCGTTATGGGATATACTGCAAATTGGATGTGAACACAGACAATGGACAAGCATGCAGTTCTTTTGATACCACATTGTTTGTCTGCATAGATGGATGTGTTCAGACAGCATGTACAGTCACACGTGACCCTTTATGGCTATGCGAGTACAAAAAGTACATTTTGTACTTTAACACAGACGGTGTCTTCCTTGTGTGTTATCTGCATGCAATGTGCACATGATGCAGAAGGGACCCAACACTTTGACCAGCGCTTGTGAGCAACGTGTAGTTGTATTAATTGTTGCTGGTTTACATGTACACTCAAACATGAGGGAGAAGGAATTCAGTGAGCGCAACTCCTCCAATAAGTTTTAGAGTCGGGAACATTGTATATTGAGCAAATAAATAGTGAGGAAAATAAATTGCGTTCCCCGTCACTCATGGAGATTAGGCCTCCGGCTCTCAACAAGTACGTTAGTTGAGTACAATGTTATCATAACTGAGAGAAATAATGGCCACATTTGCGATACTAAGACACATGTGGTTATGCTTTAAACACCTATTAGCTGACAACTATTTTTAAAATGTGACCATCATTACAGCATAGCTCAATCGAAACTCTACTAGGTCTTGCATTCATACAACACAAAGTGTGTCCATCACATCCACAGGGCACTGTTAATATGTAGACATTACAGTATAAAGCACGAAGGGACACATGTTGTTCCTGCTTGAGCACAAACAGGAATAAGAGAGACCTAAGGCACTAATTGTGGTATTTAAAACAAACTTTTGTAGGAGTACACACTGTCTATGGGTCCTTTTGAATATGCAGCTCTGTTTCAAGTGTTTTCTCACTCTCATTCTCCTTGGTCTGCTCCAGAATAAAACCATTATGTGGCTTACAAGCATCAACAAACAGTGGAAAATAAGACAAGCTAGTGTTGCACTCCTTGTCTTCATTTTCATCCTCTACTTCATCCTTCCTTTTCCCTTCATCTGTAGTTGGTGTGCTGCAGTCAAAGGTAGGCATACTGCAGCCGTAGGCCTCGCTGTGAGGCCGGCGAGCCTCATCTGGGATGTTCTTCTTCAGGTCCCGATTCCGGTTGCGCTTGGCCAGCTTGGTGACGGAGCCCAGGCGGTTGAAAATGTTGTCCTCAGACGTGGTCTGGTGGTTTGAGCTCTGGTCGCCCTGCTCAGCCCCTCGCAACCGAAGGTTGTTCAGCTTGGAGTCGATGCTCTCCTGGGACGAAGTCTTGTAGCTGTTGGTGTCCAGGCTGTTGAAGATGGCGCGGCGCTCTGGTGAAAGCATATCCAGGGACACAGCACGCTGGTCCAAGCCCAGCTGCCGTCTTTCCATGCTCCGGATGGTGGCGGCTCGCTGCAGTTTGTCGTGGACCTCGACACTCATACGTCGACGCGTCTCCCGGAACTCTGCTCGCACGTTTGCTTTCCATTCTGCTGCATGAGCCTTGATCTCACCAACCTTGACCAAAGTCAGACAGTACAAACCAATACATCACTTATCTGTGTATTTAGACTTTGTTGAAAAGCATAGTGAAATTGTCCTTTTCAAGATAAATAGACATTAGAATCCATGACTTTCGAAACAAGTCAAAAACACATTTAAATTTGATCAATAGTGACAACCATATTTCTGCAACACGATTATATATGTTTTAAGGTGCATCTTGTCTTTTTTTTATCTTGCTGATTAGTTAATAATTTGACCTTCTCAGGCCTCTATAAATAATTCTAATGAATCAATCTGAGACTGTTTATAGCTCCTACTGTATGCAACACGGGGCAGTATACACATCGCTTTGTTTTAAGTGGTCAAAAGATGAAAAAGTTGTGATCCACTGCATTATACAACAATGCAAAGCTAATTAACTCCCCTTTAAAAGCATAAACTAATACAACTATATTACACAACTAATACGTTGTGGTGGCTGCCTGAATGGTAAAGTGCAGCACATCAAACATTAGCATATACAGTCATTTAGGCTGTCGCTTTTTATTTTAAATTCAAGCTTTAGATCAAACAAGGTAATGTAAATAAAAATGCAATATTGAAACGGTAATGATGTGTTAGAATTCAAATGTACAGTCTGTAAGCGCAACAGAGCGTTAGAATAAGTTTGCTTTGTAGTCCAGTAAAGGACATTCTTAAAATGCACATTCAGTTTGACCTGTTGCATGGCCAACTACCTATTTATCAATAAACTAAGCAAAACAAATAAATGGAGGAAACCCTTGCTATTTAAAAGACTTCCATAAATTTGAGCAGGAGTGCTACTCATCTGTGCAAGTCCGGGCATGTGTTTGGGAAGTACTGAGCATTGATGAGATTTGTATTGTACTGCACGAGTTGTGTTGGCATTTCTAAACAGATGTTTCTATATCGTTTTGCTGGTGTTAAACACAGCCCCCATTTAATCAATTCATTAATAATTGTCCCTGTTTTTTTATTCTTTGCTCACCGTGGAGGTATGCATGATCTGCACAAATTCAAGGTAACACTGGTAGGTAATTGATATTCAAATTTGTGGGTGAAGTATTCCTTTAATCTCAAAAAGTATTCCCAGAATATTCCATCAACCAACATTTGATCAGAACTGTGATAGGATTAGGACAGGATAGAATGTCACAGTCTGACATAAGGCTAAAAGTTCAATCAATTTATAAACAAAAAGATGAAAACATTATGTATAGTAAAGATGATTATTGTTTGTAACCGTATTAAGAAAGGGATAAATCAAAAAATTACAAAGCTCTTTTAACCTTGGTCAACAATTCAACACGAGTATGACCTACATCATATGAGCTTTGACCATTCCTAATGAGAGCATACCTCTTCTTTTGTCTTTTTGGACAGCACCCTCAGCCAGTCACCAATCATGTTCAGTACTGCAGCAAAGTAGGCCAGACCACCCAGGATCCAGAACCACACCAGTGGTCTGTACCACTTCCGGTACTGGATCCTTCTGTCTCCCCCTAAATAGAAAACAACACATGAATGACTGAAGTAATGTACATGACTTTTTTGCTGCCAGCATGCATACCCTCCTGAACAATGAATGAAGCTGACTTCTGTAGTCACAGTCAGCGATCATCTTTAAAGGGGAATACACAGTCAACCAACTAGCTATTAATCCATTCATTCATTCTGCTTTAATAAAGCAATACTCATACCCCCTCTCTTCATTGAGAGAATTGATCATGTATTAAACTGTTACATTATATGAATATTGTATTCTGTTCTTTAATCTAGATTGTAATGGAACATTTCTTAGTATATTGTGTAAAGGCCTAAGCACTTGTACTTTTGCTCTGAACTCAGTAGATCTTCATCCTTTGTGTTAACATACATGCTCAAATGTATCTTACTGTTTGTGTCATAGAAACTTGATATTCTTATGTGTATTTTATATTCTTATAAAATACAACTGTTTTATAACTTGTGTAACAGACTATCATAAGCTTGCATCATGTAACTTGTGATCCATGCAGCTGACTGCCTGCACACATATCCTCTTCTTCTGTGTGTTGGATAACAAGTACCTATTGTTCTGTGCCTTAAGGATAAAATGTATGCATCTGTGTGTCTGTTGTTACACAGATAAAGCACTTCTTATACTTCCTTAACTGCACGACCTGAAACAGGATGTCCAGTACGCAGGCCCCACCCTTGATATCTCCCTTTATAACTCTGTGTGAATTTTGATCTGTAGTGCACACTTCTGCAGACTCTGAGTGATTCTGTGTAACTGTGCATCTTCTCTGGCCAGAGAATAAATACTTTTAAAAGAAAAGTTCTGTTTGACAATATTCTTGATTTCAGCTTAAAAAGACTCAACAACGGGTAAATACATTTTTCCATTGTTCACATTGTCTGTAATGTGATTTAAGCTAGGTCAGGCAATATACTTTTGGCAACATTGGGCAAAAAATTCAATAACAACCATTATAATTCCATATCAACTCAAGTGGTGTATATATTTAAATGGGCCAAAACTCACAACCAACTTTTCCGAAAGCAATGGTGCTTGTTTTGAGAGGACTCCACTGATAAACATGCATCTTTTTTTCCTTCTCGTTGACATAATTTGTATGGGACAGAATGTGTATTCAAAACCTGATATTTGTTTTGTTAATCTGCAGTTTAATGGGGCACATTGTTTTACGTGATGGACCAGCAATATACAGTAGGTGAGTTGCCTGTCCCAAGATTACCCACTGAGGTACGGCGATGGTGCTCTTATTACAGATATTAAACACAAAAAATGTCCCATTTCAATGAACTGAAAATTGTTCAACTGCATTTCAGACATTAACAGATGCACCCACCTCCCCTAGAATAATGGTATTTCCCAACTTTCATCAGCCAATCATTTTCAGTATAGATGTATCTAACTACTAGCTCTTGGCCTTTGTCTGGTCTTTAAGACACTTCAGACACTATTCAGCTGTAATTGTTTGCAACCATCAGTGATCACCGTCCACTCCTCAGTCTACAGAAATTAGATGTCACACATGACCCCACAGGGCAACAAGGTTGTTGGGCTTTGGATTTGTATCAATAGACAGTAGGATGAAAAGAAACACAATGATGCTAAGTCATGGAATCCTCTCTCACAACGGGACCAACTGTTTCCCGGAGGAAACAGTGCCTCCCTGCCAGGAAAACCCCTCCTGTCAAATCTTATATATATATTAGTGCTGGGCAAGTTAACGCGTTATTATCGCGTTAACGCATTAATTAATTATCGCCGACAATTATTTTATCACGCGTTAACGCATTTTTTTTTATGACAAGAGACAATACATAGACATAACAACAAGGGGATGACAAGAACAGTGGGATAAAAACCAGCAAACATCCTATAGTCAGTTGTTACTTACATTTTAGTGCACCTATATGCTGAAATTCACGGTAAACGCATTTAAACGGCACAGATCAGGAGTGAGCGAAGGACTTTGAAAGTTAGCGGAAAGATTAACGTGAGACAACATCCGGTTTCTTCAGACGAACATCCGGTTTTCAGAATAAGATGCCAACAAAGTATGAATTATAATCACATTAAGTAGAAAACATGCTACCTGCATCTTGTGAACCAAATGTTATTGCACTTTTGTTCATATAGCAGTACTTTTAAAATAAAAGTGCGCAATACACTACTTTTGAATTCATTATTGAACTTTGCCACAACAATGCGATTAATCGCAAAAAGTCCATGCGATTAATCGCGATAAAATATTTTAAACGTTGCCCAGCACTAATATATATATATATATATATATATATATATATATATATAGCACAATCTGCCACTGCAGCCTTCTACTATCACCAGCACAACAGCTCACGTTTACTATTCAGAAAAATACACTGCTGTTGCTCAATTTGGGATTGGGCATTGTTTACGCTGCAGAAACCATGGTTTGGATGGATAATAAAACAACCAAACTGCAATCATTGTCAATGTCAATTTAATTTGAGAACCTCAGGCAGTCAGCTAAGTTTCCAGAACCAAAGAACAGCTTTAATACAGTCCTTCGAGCCAGAGCACTGACTCGCCAAATGAAAATAATCAAAATTAACATATGAGAACAATGCAATTTAATCTACACATTACAAAACCTATTTTAGGAGAGAAAGGCATATGGGAATGATAATGAGTCAGGAAAAATCTCTAGACTTCATCTCTAGATCTCTAGACTTCACATGGATAAAAGTTTTTTTGAATCACTGAAACTGAAATGCAAGCAGAATGGAGGAGTTTGAGAAAAGTAGCATGGAAAGACGAGGCAAGAACTGTTGGAACATAATAGACCATTGCTAGAGTACAGATCAACCCCAAAGTCAAGATGAACAGTCAGTGGCGGGCTGTGCATTTTATGCCTGGGCCTTCTGTGCTGTGGTGCAGATACTTCCGTGCATGATGGGACGCTGCGTCATTAACGGACAATGCATAGTCTGTCAAATCAACGTAATTAACACAATGACAACCACACAAGTCATAAGAACCAGTCACATATATTCATATGACAACAAAGCATGACACATCAATCCAACAGACCTGCAGCGGATCCACGCATTCCACCACACAAGAGCACGAGCCATTGAAATATTATTCATTAAAACGTTACTGCAGATGTAAAGAAACAAACGCAGTTCGTCACTTACTGAATTCCTTGTCGACAAAGAGTGTAATCCCAGTACATCGTTTCAGTTCCAGTAAGAAGTCCTTCTCGATTCATGGATGCCAGTGACAGTCGAGCCTCCCCAGTCGTATTTCGCCGGTCTGCGGCAGCCGGTTCGCAGTGGCGCCGGGAGCCCACCTCCGCCGGCCGGGAGCCCACCTCCGCCGGCGTTCAGTCGCACCGGTAAGCTGCATCCAGTTGATTCAGTCGCACCGGCCCGCGTTCGGTCGCACCGGCCCCGACCGCCGGCCGGGAATCCACCTCCGCCGGCCCCGACCGTGTGGCCGGTCTGCGGTTGTGGAGCTCCGTTTCCCTGCGAACATGTTCGTTGATCTGTAGATCCACTCGGGTTTCTCCAACAGTTTTCAAAAGCACCGTAGTGCCGTGCTATGGCGTCCTCGGGTTAGCGTAGCATAGCTCCAAACACCAAGATGCTCAAGTAAAATGAAACACATTCCCACCCATAAAATATGTGACGCTGTCAGCCAGACAGCTGTGCAATGAGAAAATAAGCTAATGGGAAAACTTTGTGATTCTGTTTAGGCCAGCAGAAAAGGCTTAGCTGGCCCTGACGGCTCACCACTGCCAATTATCCTGCAGTGCCTAAACGTCATCCTCCAATAGATGCACACAAAGCTTTTTCTGTTATTCAGTCTTCTGCCTTAATTCAAAGAACACTGGGCCATGAACCATTAAAGCTGAATAATAAACTGAAAGGGGCTGAGGGTGGTTTGCAACTGTGAGGAATTTAAGTTTTAAAGCACTCCTAATTATGGATATAATGTGATACAGTATATTTACTTGTAGGAGTCTGGTCATTTCATGCATTAAGTGTCTGTGAGAGGGGGTTTGAGGAATGTGCTGGAGAGGAGGTTGTGTGAAAGTGGCCGGGAGAGGTGTGAAGTTTAGGACAATGGGGCATAGGCCCAGGTGGGGCTTGTTGGACTTCAGCCAATCAATGAGCTGATCGATGAGCTGAGGAATGCAACTTTGAGGGGACAAAGGGTTTGAAAATCTGGGGGTTTTTAGATCTTCTGCTGGCCATCGAGGAGGCAGACCAGCCTTCTGGGTGGCTCGGATTGGATCTCACATTTGATTTTATATATAGGTTTGTTTTGTTAATAATTGTGTGATTCGGTTTGTAACTGTCTGTATCTGTTTTTATGCTTCTTGGATAATAAATCCATTTGATTTTTACTTTAACCTGCTGTTGTGTTTTGGAGGCGATTGAGACAGCATGGCTGCAAGGGGGGGGGCGATTTTTCCCTGTGTCCAGAAGTTATGGCCATAACACAACCACCAGGGGATGCTCCATTGGACTAATTTGAGGAAGGCATGAATCAACCTCCACACATCCACACCTCACCTGAAACCTGATTACACATCAGGGCCTGTGGTCAGGCCTAAAATCAGACGGAGAGATATTCAGCAACACTGAATGAGCATATCACTTCAGCAAAGGAGAACTTCACTACTTACAGGCTCTATAACCTTCTTAGTACCGTAAAGGTGCTTGTGCTCAACCACAGCCACTTTCACAACAGGTAGCTCAGATACCAATACCCCAACCTTCAAAATGGTTTATTGTACTGCCACCGCTTCATCTAGCCCGCTTCCACATGAGCCTTCACTGTAGGGCTGCACGATTATGGCCAAAATCATAATCGCGATTATTTTGATCAATATTGAGATCACGATTATTTATCACGATTATTCATTCATTTTAGGGACAACATCTTTTTATTGCACTTTCACGTTTAAATGAACAAGAACACTGCTTCCACTTCCAT